GTTCCAGAGCAATCTCTCTCAATATGGACAAGTACTTGTTTGACGATCAGATACAAATGTCAATCATTTTAATGTTAAAAAATCATATTCCTGACATGGTTATATTCCAGCTATATTACTATAAACAAAACTATATATCTTAAATTTGATAACTAACGGGGACTGTGCCATGCATGGCTTGTTTTTATTTATTTGTGCAATTAATGTGTGTTTTTTTTTCATTAGGTGATATGGAAAGGCAAAGTGGCCGATAAAATGGAGACAGATATCGCAACCACAGCCATAAGAGCATGTACTGATAAAATATATAGTGACCAGAATGTAGATATCAGTATGCTTACATTAGGAGATGGTGTAATGTTAGCAATGAAGAAATAAGTGCACACTGGCAATATCGTTTTCTAAGATACAAGATTATTTTTAAAAGCTAAATAACAGTTGTATTGTTACATAATCATGTATTCAAATATTACTATATAGCGCATAACAGACGAAACAAATAAATATGAAACACAACACTATTGTTCGAACATGGCTCTGATGCAGTTCTGTTAACCTCACACAACAACACCTGTCACTACATTGTTTGTTTGTACACATTGAAGCTGGCTTCACTTCATCAAGGAATTAAAAGGTGTTCTAAATTGTGAAAACTCTCATCATTGCAAAGGACACCATCTCTTACCATCCCACTATCCGCAACCATGATGAAGCTATCTCGTCCTCATGCTCAAGGCCTGTAACATCCTCATCGCACGCTCTCAGTCATCTGTCTGTTCACATAAAACAGAAGTAAACCCCGGGAGCTATTCAAATTTCGAACCATTGCCAATTTTACAGACTTTTAATAAAATGGCTCTCTCACACAAACCAGCCGATTACGTTTTTGTATGATGTTATTTATAGCAAATTACAGGGAGTTTCTGGCATCGTCTTTCAAAACTAAATTCTTTTTTGCATTATTCATGTACAGCTTTGAAAATTAAGCAGTACGTACAGTATCTTTTGTGCCGGCTTTTGTGCTTTATCTCGGTAAGTTGAGTGTGTGTGTTTTTACAACGTTGCACTTGCATCGATTTTAAAAACATTAAATTGCATTAAATTCTTGCAGCTCTTCATGTAACTCTTGTGACATTTATGTAACAGACTCTTAAAAATGAGCAGATTAGCTTTAGTGTTCTAATCTTCCCCTTACCGACACTCATTGTGACAAAGCCAGTATACCAAGCTGGCTACCAAGAGCATTTGCAATAACAGATCATGCATATCATTGATATCATTGGTAACTCAGAGCTTGAATGAAAGTGTTATTGGCAACACCTAAGACAAATACATCACCTACCTGTTATCTGTATTGAAGGTGTCAATCGGGTATTGAAGCAACTTGGTGAAAATAAGATAAGACTGGATTTATCAACAACGTTACAGTGCTATATAAGTATAGAATGTTAGTCCATCAAAGTCTGCATAGCAACTGATCACTGATTACAACGTTCTGTTTTTCTAGAATTGATATTACAGGCAGATATACACGAGAAATAAATAAAACTATTTCATTGGTCATAGAAGACATCTGGTAACACCGATTACTCATGATTTCCTTAAATCATTGGTCGAGTCAATGCCATTCATGCGAAATATATCCTATACCGATGGTATGCATCCGCTAAGTTGATTCGACCATCATTTGAAATTTCTGAATGATTTTAAAATATCGTATATAAAACAACTATGACTATATGAAAGGGAGTAAATCTTTTATGTTGATAACATTCGTGTATGTGTTATGAAATGAATTAAAGAATTCCTAAAAGGAAACACTGCTGGATAATAGTTTTGATTTCTTTTTATGTTTTTATCTTCTTTCAGTAGTTTTTTTTTCCCTATCGTTGAATAATTTACAGTTTATTTCATCTTCATCATGGCAACTTGAATAAGAACAAATTCCGTCTTCTAATGGTGTTCTGGTTGTGTATGTTTTAAACACATTCTGTTATATTTTTGCCAATAACTTTATTACACTACTAAAAAAACCTTCAGAGGGTTTTTGTATGGTAAGGAACATAAATACATACAATACATAAGAGATAAAAATAAAATGTTAGTAAAATAAAAGAAAAAATAAATTAATTACTTTCTGTGGTTTTAAAAATTGTGCTCTTTAAGTATTTTGCTAAAGCTAACGTGTGTATCAGTATGTAGTTAACATGCAGTACATAGTCAGTGGCATACATTGTAATTACATGTATCTCAAAATATGGTTACCACTTTAATCAAATTTATATAACATTACATTACGTTTGGAGTTGTGCAAATGTGTACGTAACACGGTTATTCCCCGAACCATTTATTCGACTTTTTTATTCCTCCAAGTGTAGACCTCGTACAGCTTTTGGCTGGCGTGTTCAGTTTGGGGTGGGGGCCTTAATGAACTCTTTTCCAATTTGTCATTACTGGATATGTTTATTTCCAGCACGATATACCAGTATGCTCTGCGTTTACGTCAATTTGCAATCCAAAACACATATTCTCTGTCAATAGCGCCACCAAGCACAGGCTGTGTGTGTAGAGATATGACAAACAAACAACCGCCGTCTATAATAAATCCATCAAGCTGAGTGAAATCGCTCGTGGGATGATAGTTTGCTCGTAAATTGTCTAGTTCGTTCAAATAAGATGGAGATAGGAACGGAAATAAGCCATAAGATAAGGGTAAGGATACTGGTTCGGATGGAGCGTTAAAAATACATTCCATTTCGTAGTAGATGGTGCTTTTTCTGATGCGGTGCCGAACGTATTTCCGACGTCGGAGCCGATCAAAGAATGACGACCCGATGAGCAGTTGCCGGTTTGCAAATACTATCATTGACACTTGCAAATCATGCCATACAGTTTGCAGTGCTAATATGGCGCACTGACTTCAGGTCAGGCGGCCATTCGTATCATATTTCTTTCATTACAAATATACCAAAACAAAAAAATCACATCAGACACAGCGAGGTACTTTTATATAATAGATAAATCTGAAAGACATGAGTTGTATTCTCTGTTTGCTAAAACCATCTATTTTAAAGACAACAACAGCAACAAGGATAAGTTAATATGAATAATATGAATGCCCACTGCGGACGATAATTACACAACTTGAGTAAACAACAGTATTTATTAGATGAAAAATCAGAATAGTACGTGTTTGCATTGATTGTACATACATGTACCAAAAAATGAAGTACATTAGAAAATTTCATGGTTTCATCTTATGAATACTGATATACGCTTTCTACGAGAAGGGCATAATGTACATTAAATTTTAGTATGCAAACACATTTAATTTGCTTACATTGCCCAGAGGAATGAAATTAATGTGATCATTTTGTTTCTCAACAGTTGGGTAATAAAGAGCTACCCTTCTGATCAAAACAAACCAAACATCATCAGATTTCAAATTTAGGGAGCTTATTTTGTCGATTTTGGGTTGATCACTATTGCTGCAAACTAGACAAATCAAATCCTACAGTTTACATAAATGTCACACCCTCTGTCATCAACTACTAAGTATGCCGTGCAAAGGTGATGCAGTTTTTTCTGTAAAAGAAAAAGTGTCAACTGAGTGTTAGGAGTTTTACCAATGGCAGAACACAAGATATATTGTCATCGCAAACAAGCATCATGCTTATTGGCTGATGATGGAGGGACTGTTTTTGCTTTAAATATTGTGTAATAGCAGTTTGTTGTTATGGTGTTTTCATTACTTTATTAAGTATTATTTCAATCTGATTAAAATCTGATGTAGTGTAC